AACTGCCAGAGCCATTTGTGGGTGGGTTGGGACAACTGACAGTTCAGCCAAGGTCACTTTGAGTGCCGGAGTGGTTTTCTGTATTTTACTTCTTGGCGATGTTCCATACCCCAGAAGTAGAATAGACCCATTTCTGTAAAGCACTGATGTGCAGTGCTTCATACAGGCAGCAGAGATGAAGAAATTGAAAGAAAATAGAGCAGTTGTTCCTTGTGCATGTTACGTTTACATCTGAGCTCACAAAGCACATATTAAAATTCAATTTCATAATAACCTTATGAGGTGGAATTGGTCTAACTTGCAAAATCCCTGTGGGACAATATTAGTTCTATTCTACATCTTTAAGTATTTTTATAACAGTAGACACTGGGGGGACTCAATTGGGATGGAGTCTCATTAGGTATTTTACAAAGTCATGTGAAGATCCCACTCCAAGAATCTTGCAATCTGAGATAAGTAACAAGTGCAGGGCTGGAGGGGACAGATGCTATCAAATATATAATATAGGTTAGAAATGCAATAACACATTTTTGATCATTAGAAATATAAAGAATATCAGCTACCCACATTTGCCCTTTAACCTAGACATCATAAGTTGGTTGGTTGATTATCAGTTTCAAGGGGATCCTAAAGAGATATATGAAAGGTCATTACATGGTAGCTTTGCAGATCAGGAGTAGGGGGCAGTAAAGAAGAAAGCATAAAGATGTTAATGTAAGAAACTTACAAATGGGTACTTGAAGCTGGTATCATTGATGGGGCAAGGGGACAGAGCAGTGAAAGGCTTAAATGAGAATAAGATGTTTTGGGTTTAATGTGAAATGGAATCAAATGGAAAGATTTAAGAAGGTGGTGATGCATTCACAGCAGGAAAAGTAAGTGAACTTGTTACATTTGTATCTATGGTATTATTGCAGCAGGCAAGCTTTGCAACCAGGTCTGATTGTTTATTGCAGTGATTTCCTAATGTTGCACTAAAATGGACAAGAGCACTGATAAAGTATCTGTCCAAGATTCTGGGCAAAGCTCATTTAGTAATCAAATATAGAGGAGAGAATTACTGGTTCCCTGATAGAAGGGAGTGTCATTTGTCTAGAGAATCCTTTATTGTATAGCTTTTCTTCATGTTAAGACTTTTACATAGCTGTGTGTGTTGTATTAAGGGCAAGATGATATGATAAACCATCTTGCACTATTCTTCAGTGGCTGTTTCTCTCTGTGAAACCCTTGCCCTCCACAAATTCTGAAATTATAAGTTAGCAGCGTGTCTGAAGCACTGCTCTGGGTTTGGTGTGTCATCAGATGCATCTTCTCTCAGCTTTTGCTCTGTTTTCTATTCTCTTTCCACTTTATGTGCTTACTGGGTACATTTAGCACTTGGAGTGCATTTCCAAATGCATCCAGAACATTGTCTTATGCTTAATTAATTAGGCTTCTCCAAAAATTTCACTTGATAACTTGGAGCTTTTTGTGCCTCTGAATGGCCTTTTAGAGGCTGCTGCTCTACTTAAACCACCAAATATCATTATATGCTGTGAGAGAGGGGGATTTGTCAGCCCAATTAAAAATGTTGGGAGATGATGAAATGCTAAAGAATCGGTGGCCTTAGGGTTGCAGACTTGAGTGCTCTCAGAGCTCTACAGCTTTGGCTTTCCATCATTGGCATAGAAGAACTGCATTAATATTTTCCCTAAATTATTTATGTTGCAAACTCCCTTCTTTAAAGTACATCATGTGCAACTTGCTGTGAATATTTAATATGGTGCTTGGAAGAATTCTCTTCGTGTTTCTGGCAGAATTCAGCTTCTGAGCAGTGCTTGCTCTTTTCCAGTACTAGGCAAAATAAAAAGAGGGCGAGTTGGGATGGGATTTTAGGATGTAGTTCTTTTGATTAAGTTAGCTACTATACATAGGTCTGGGCACCAGGCTGGAGTTCTATAGAGCAAGATGGCATGAAAGAACTTGCATTCGAGAGAAATTTTGTGGTGTTCTTAAGTTACTGTGATTGATATGTGTCATTACGCCCACTCCTTGCATTGTAGCTGAGCTGGGGTTATACAATAAGCATCTAGTAGTACTTTAGAGCAGTGGCTCTTAACCTCAATGGTTACACGTACCGTTAGGATAAAAAACACTAGTCAGTACAAATTGAAGTACTGACTTTACAAATTAAAGTACAACATAAGAATGCCTATACTGGGTCAGACCAAAGGTCCATCCTGTCTGCCGACAGTGGCCAATGCCAGATGCCTAAGAGAGAGTTAACTGAACAGGTAATGATCAAGCGATCTCTCTCCTGACATTCATCTCCACCCTCTGACAAACAGAGGCTAGGGACACCATTCCTTACCCATCCTGGCTAATAGCCATTAATGGACTTAATCTCCATGAATTTATCTAGGTTTCTTTTAAACCCTGTTATAGACCTAGCCTTCACAACCTCCTCAGGCAAGGAGTTCCACAGGTTGACTGTGTGCTCTGTGAAGAAGAACTTCCTTTTATTTGTTTAAAACCTGCTGCCCATTAATTTCATTTGGTGGCCCCTAGTTCTTATATTATGGGAACAAGTAAATAACTTTTCCTTATTCACTTCCTCCACACCACTCATGATTTTATATACCTCTATCATATCCCCCTTAGTCTCCTCTTTTCCTAGTCTCTTTAATCTCTTCTCATATGGGACCCGTTCTAAATTCCTAATCATTTTAGTTGCCCTTCTCTGAACCTTTACTAATGCCAATATATCTTTTCTGAGATGAGGAGACCACATCTATACGCAGTATTCAAGATGTGGGCATACCATGGATTTATATAAGGGCAATAAGATATTCTCCGTCTTATTCTCTATCCCTTTTTTAATAATTCCTAACATCCTGTTTGCTTTTTTGACTGCCGCTGCACACTGAGTGGATGTCTTTAGAGACCTATCCACGATGACTCCAAGATCTCTTTCCTGATTTGTTGTAGCTAAATTAGCCCCCATCATATTATATGTATAGTTGGGGTTATTTTTTCCGATGTGTATTACTTACTTTTATCCACATTAAATTTCATTTGCCATTTTGTTGCCCAATCACTTAGTTTTGTGAGATCTTTTTGAAGTTCTTCAGTCTGCTTTGGTCTTAATTACCTTGAGCAGTTTAGTATCATCTGCCAACTTTGCCACCACACTGTTTACCCCTTTCTCCAGATCATTTATGAATAAGTTGAATAGGATTGGTCCTAAGACTGACCCTTGGGGAACACCACTAATTACCTCTCTCCATTCTGAAATTTTACCATTTATTCCTACCCTTTGTTTCCTGTTTCTTAACTAGTTCTCAGTCCATGAAAGGATCTTCCCTCTTATCCTATGACAACTTAATTTATGTAAGAGCCTTTGGTGAGGGACCTTGTCAAAGGCTTTCTGGAAATCTAAGTACACTATATCTACTGGATCCCCCTTGTCCACATGTTTGTTGACCCCTTCAAAGAACTCTAATAGATTAGTAAGACATGATTTCCCTTTACAGAAACCATGTTGACTTTTGCCCAACAAATTATGTTCTTCTGTGTGTCTGACAATTTTATTCTTTACTATTATTTTGACTAATTTGCCTGGTACTGATGTTAGGATCACCCCTAGAGCCCTTTTTAAATAATGGCTTTACATTATCTTCCAGTCATTGGAAGCTGTTTTAAAGGATTGGTTACAAACCATAGTTAATAGTTCCACAATTTCACATTTGAGTTCTTTCAGAACTCTTTGGTGAATGCCTGGTCCTGGTGACTTGTTACTGTTAAGTTTATTAATTAATTCCAAAACCTCCTCTAATGACACCTTACTCTGAGACAATTCCTCAGATTTGTCACCTACAAAGGATGGGTCAGGTTTGGGAATCTCCCAAACATCCTCAGCCATGAAGATTTAGGATTAAAGTACAAATTAAAGAAGTCAGTACAAATTAAAATTTCATATAGACAGTGGCTTATGTTGCTGTATATACTATATATCAGGCCTGAGGAAAATACAGCCTACGGGCCAGATTTGGCCCGCCAAGCCACCGGATCCAGCCTGCGGATGCAGCTGGGACCCCAGGCAGGCTCCCTGCTTGCCTTGACCTACCTGCACGCCTCTCAGAAAAGTGGCTGCTGTACTGTTTGTCTTTCAAAACTGTGAACCGGGGAGGGAAGACTTCAGGTGATGTCCCCGGCCCCTTAAACAATCCCATTGACCAGTTTTTGGCCAGAAACTTTGAATAACAGGCAGCCACAAAGCACCTTGCCCCCTCCTTTCCAGCTTGTAGTTATTCACACACGCATATGGGGCGGAGCAGGCAGGCAGGTTGCCTGAGAAACTTGCTGGGCTGCTGGCCAGGAGTCACCTAGGTAAGTCTCCTGGCCAGAAACTGCCTCTGGCACTCCAGCCCCTCCCTCCCCAAAACCGCTGCATCCCTCCTTCCCCCATTCCTGTTCCCTTACCTCACATACCCAAACCTATATCCACTCCCAGATCTGGCACCCCAATCCCGTGCCCCAGATCGCAATCCCCTTGTGGCCTAGGTCACAACCCAAACTCCTTCACCTTTTCCTGTACCCCAATCCCTAGTCTCAATCCCCTCCTGCCCTTGGTCACATCCTGGACCCCAGTCCCCTGTTTTAGGTCGCAACCCAAACTCCTGCACCCCAGTCCAGTGCCCCAGGTCACAACTGCCTCCTTCACCCATTCCCTTACTCCAAGCTCCCTTCTGCACCCAACCTGCATCCCAGACCCTGCACTTGCTCCATATAATATTATGGAAGAGTGCAAATTCTTGGAGTGCCCCCCCCCCATCAAAAATTATTGCCCACCCCTGCTATACACTAACATGTGAGTAAACCATTTTTCAGGAAAACTGTGTTGTGACTTTGTTGTATTTTATGTCTGATTTTGTTAGCAAGTATATAGTGTGAAGTGAAATTGGGAGGGTAACAAGCAACTTAGATTCTTGCAATGGAAAGGTTGAGAATCGCTGCTTTAGAGAACAGGTAGAGTGTGAAACTAAACTTTGGAATGGTATCTCTGCTGCGTCTCAACATGCATCTGTAAAACAGTAACAAAATTAAAAAGCTTGTGATAATTTATTTAATCGTTTTAAGTTTTGATAGTCAATGTTCTTGGTTTGTGGAGAACTGGATGGCTCAAAAGATTAGGAAAGGCATATAAAGCCTTTCTGTTCCAGGTCATTGCTACCAGTTTTAGGAGATAATCTCTAGCTGGTTGGCCACCCCTGCTCTAAGAGCCAAATTAGATGTGGATAGTAGTGCAAAGAGCCGCATCTTTTATATTTATTTTTATATATCTATAACCCTAAGGCACCCCCAGCCTCCCTGCTCTAACCCAATGCCCTTCCTCTTCCCCAGAGCCAGGTACCCACAGCCTCCCTGCTCTAACCCAATGCCCTTCCTCTTCCCCAGAGCCAGGCAGCTCCAGTTTCTTTTATTAATACCCTGGGTCTCACTAGAGCCGCTGCTGCCGCCGCACACTTTTCCCTGCAGGCGCGTGCGCAAAGCGGCCATGAACTGTCTAGGCATGTGGCTCTGAAAGACAGTGGAACATTCCCTTGAAGGCAGGTGCCACCACCCCCTCCCCAAATCCCGGACATTTTTTGTGTTTTAAAAAAGATGGCCAGACTGCAATTTAACATGGGAAAACGAGGACATGTCCGGGAAAAACCAAACTATGGTAGCCCTAACTCATAAGAGCCTCATTTCTATGAGCAAAGAGCCGCATATGCCTTGAAACCCGTGAGTTGGCTACTCCTGAGAGAAAGCCTGAGACATGAGATCTTAGGGAGTATACGATAATGGTGAGAGAGAACCTTTTGGCCAGATGGTTAGCTATAAAAGTAGCTTAGCCTAGGTTTCACTTCCACCTTTCACTGTTGGCATTGCACCTCTGGAAGCTTCCCTTGGAGTTTCAGCACAGTGACGTGGTGCAGTGATTAGATGACAGACAGTGGGGCTTGAACGTAGCCTATGAACTGAAGTTTTTATAAGGTGGGGGAAGAATCTGCTACCTCCCCCCCCCTTCATTCTCTTAGAATTAAATATTTGTAACAATGTGTCGTCCCTCATAGCTTTATTAATAAAATGTAACCTGATGCCGTTACTTGGATGTCTTTGTTATTGCATTATATAATCTACAGTAGGGCTTTTTCTCTGGAAGCAGATTCCAAACAGTAAGAGCAGGAAGAAAGAAGGGGAAAGCATGAGTATCTGAACATAACAAGGATTATAACTTGTGGCTTGTGTTCCGGTTCTTTACTAAATACTTTCATGAGGTGGTCTGATTGCTGGGCTACCATGGGATATGATGAAACGGGCTGCACTACTTTATCTGAGCATTTACTATTTTGCAATGAAATTCTTATTCGTGGCAGCCTCTTATGGAGGATGGGATTGCAAAATACCAATATTCCACTGTTAAAATCAACAGCACTGGAACCTGCAGTGGTAATGTTGCTAGTGAGAGGTTTCACAATTGCTGTACATTGCCTTAGACTTGTTTTCATTTTCTGATATTTTCCTCCAAGACTTTTTAGGTAAGAATTTTTTTTCCCTGTAAATGCTGGTTTCACAACTTTGGACTTCAATCCAACCTCACTTTTGTTCATACTTAGTTACAGATAACTTCTCTAGCCAGTGGACAGGAAAACTTCTGGATGGAGTTCCTAGCAAATAATTTTGTGTGTGTATGTGGTGGCTTCCCTTGTCTCTGCCCTTCCATTATACAACTTTTTCTCCAGTTCCCCACAGTCATGTTGCCTTTCAGCTAACGCAGTATTAATTCTCTGCCCCAAACCTGCTCTAAATATATATAGAGAGGCACCAACTGGTGAACCAGCATCTACTTGCCACATTCCTATGTTGGCATCTGTATCCCTGCACGTTCTAGGGTAAGCATTGATGTAAAGAAAGTCTGCTACTAGAGAGGAGGAGCCTTTTGTCTGGGTCAGGGTGGGCAAATATAGAAAATAATCATTTTAATGAGAAACATAGTGCTGAATCCCCTATGCTGCTTTTGAAATTTCAGTGCACAAGGATTTTTTCCCCCTACCAGAGTACAAGTGCTAATCTTAGTGTCCTTGTCCCGTTCTAGTTTGGATTTTTGTTTCCCCTTCAGTTTCAGTGGGTGTCTTAACTCCCACAGAGAAGCTGGTTTTGGGAACCTATTAATAGGCTTGGGAGAACTCAGTTTTATCTGTTTTTAATAGAAGTTTCTGCTGGGTGTCAGCAGCCTGGCTGAGCCCCCAACTGTGGGGGAGGCCACTCTGCTAATGAATGTCTGTGGGAGTACTCCTTGCAGTCTGGAGATCTCTGCTCTGTCCCTCCAGGACTGCAGCCGCCTCCTCACACCTTGTGCCTACAGAGATTGTGTGTCAGTGGCCCTGCAGCTATGCAGGGAGCCCTCTGCACTTCCACTGTCATGGGAATGAGTGAGCAGATTCTAGTGGAGCAGAGCAGAGATTTCCTCCCCCCCTTTCCCCAGCACTCCCAACTGGTGAGCAAGAAAGCGGGCCTATGATGTCAGGGCTGCACAGGACTCTCTGTGCTGCGACAGAGCTGGTAACCCTCAGTCGTTGCAGGTGCAAGAGGGAGGGAGGCTATGTTTGTGCCGCTTTTTTATTGATTGTTCTTTTTATTGTTGTTGATTTGAGTAAGTAATCCGAAATCAATATTTAATGATCTTAAATGATTCAAGTAAAATCCTGCAAAGTCTGCCTGTTAAGCAGCTGCCATGCCTCGCCACATTTCAGCTGCAGTAGAATTAATCTTACATTAGGAATGTAAGAGTGCAACTGTTTAAATGGTTAACCAATAAGCATCAGCACTCTTCACCAGTGTGCACCAACCAGACCCTGCTCCTGGGGTACCAGCTGTTGCCCCATGGTGCAGTCTCTTCAGTATAAAGCTCATACCACATAGCCCATAGTGCAGCTGTCTCCCCAAAAGCAGAGAAGGCAGCTGGAGCCAGTTATAGTTATACTATACAGGCAGTCCCCGAGTTACGTGGATCCGACTTATGTCGGATCCGCGGTTACGAACGGGGCCCGTCTCCCTGGTTTCCAGCAGACCAGGGAGACGGGGAGCAAAGCAGAGCAAAGCCGCGGAGCCCGAGGGCAGCAGGACAGCCACGGCGCGTCTGGGCTGTCCCGCTGCCCCTGTGCTCCGCGGCTTTGCTCCAGATGCCTGTGGTACAGCAGCTGGGGCGCTGCTGGTTGGTCCCGTAGCGCTGCTCTGGGCGCTACTGGACCAACCCGGCAGCACCCCAGCTGCTCTGCCCCAGGCGTCCTGATTCAGCCGCCGCTGG